CTCTTCCTATTTTTTGTTTCTAAAAGTTATCATAGCAAAGAAAATTACTTTATTTTTTGCTTGATGACAAGGAAAATTATGTTCTATTTTCCCCCTTCTTTTTGTAATGCCTAGATGTCTCTTCAAAAAAAAAAAAAAGGAAGAAAAGTTAGGGTCTTACTAAGTGTAAGTCCAAAACCAGTGTTATCTGTCGCAAAAGTCGCAAAATTCATGCAAAGTGAATGACAAAAATATTAGAAACTTAAAATACGAACTATGGTATGGCCAACAACGTTCACTGAAATTTCTATAATACTTCTATAATGCAACCAACTAATCAGCATCCAAAATCTTTGGCTTCCCCTCCATCTAAAGTTTACACCCAAAATGTCACTATTATGAGAAAATTCTAAAACTATTATGAAAAAAAAAAGTTTTCTATTTGAGGGGTTGTTTGTGTTGGGGTTTCTAAGAATAGGTAGTTCGCATTCGGCAAATGCGATTTATTACTGAATTTCTGATTTTGCAAAAATCTAAAAAAAAAAATTTTTTGCTTCAGGCCTCGCATTTTGTCAAATGCGAGGTCACCTACGTTAGGCAACCTTCATTAAACTCTAATGAAAAAAGGCCTTGTGGCACGATGGATGCACCATGATTTTTGTTCGATAAACTGATTCGACAAGGGGGAAAAAAGGCTTTGTGGTTGAATAGGGAACAACTATTGGGCATTGGCATACTTATAGAAATGTTTTATGTAGATATACAAGGACAGACCTACTAATTAACATATTAAGTGAAATTCACTTGACATATTAAATGGAATCAAATATGACCCTTATATGTTGACTTAAAAAAACTTTTTTATTGGTTCAAAAATAATTACGAGATATACCTTGTCTGGCAGACAAGTTTTTTGCCATGTTTGTTTGTTACAAGTTTTTTAAAAACTTTAGCTACATAACCTCAAAAAAGTTCTCAAAATTTTTAAATTATACACTTCAAAATATTCAAAAAAAAAACACACTTCAAAATTTTTTTTAAAAACTTCTACAGTAAGTCACAGTAAAGTTTTAGACAAACACCCAAAAAATTCACTTATCAAAAGGGGCCCATGGTTAAAAGTTACTTTGGACCGGCATAAAATATCTCGTATTTTTCGTATTGCATCTGTCAGGTGAGTTTAATGAAATCAGTCAAAATATATTTTGTAAATCCTACGTCGACAACCTTAAATTCAACAGCAGCTGTGTAGTATTCAACCAAAATTCTTACCCAAAGGGAAAATGAACTTGAGACACGAATTGGCTGAAAGGCCAGAGCCAACAGTATAAACTTAAAAGACTACCCAAAAAAATTATTTCCCTAAAATACACTAAAGCTTCAGACCTCGTATTTGCATTTATACGCTTTTTGCAAACTATTCATGTTAAGTGTGAGGAAATTTGTTGGAAACATGGAAACGTAGATGTGGCCAGACCTGGTTCAGAAGTCCAAAGATGGAGGTTTGGATGCCTGACCTCGCATTTGTCATTTGGATGCCTGACCTCGCATTTGTCAAACGCGAGGCCTAAAGCAAAATTTTTTTTTTTTTTTTTTTTGCAAAATCAGAAATTCAATAATAAATCGCATTTGCTGAATGCGATCTCAGTGAGCTCGCATTCGGCAAATGCGAACATCTCTTAGACAGAATGCCAAACTCAAAAAGCCCCATTTGTAGAAAAATTTTAAATTTCATCATAAATTTAGAAATTTCTCCACTATTATATACACTTCTATAGTATTCCTGAAACTCTTCTCAGATTCTCACTATCTCATACAAATAGTAGGTATCCCCTATTTCACCAGCAATCTCCAATTGTTCCAAGATAAAACAGCATATTAGACTAGTAACAATGGAGTCCAAAATTCCCACAGCAGTCCTGTATTTGGACTGGAATCTGACTTCATTTCGCACCCTCCAGATACTGTAAACAGTTACTGCTAATACTAGTCCTTAGTTTAATACTGATGACTGAAAGTATTAATTGCCCAAGAGTATTTGGATGCTTTGAGCTTTTTACCAAACCATTTGTGTCACAGGACAATCAAGAAATAGGTGTCATATACGCTCTCCTCCACCCTTGAGCAGAAAACACATGCTTCAGAATCTATCTTTACCCCCACTTCTGCAACCTATCAACCGTGTTCTTTCTTCACTTACGTAGCAACTGCAGAATGAAAGCACACTAGAAATGTGATTCTTACACCAAACCAGTCCGTACCATCCCACATGTGGTCTCTTCCCTCTGATGGCTGGCTTCCATGGCTGATTTTAATTTGAAAACGCCTGAACCATTTGCAGTCCATCTTGTATTATCATTACTGTCAAAGTCTGGGCACAAAGGAACAAGGTATTGCCAACATCACCGTCGTTACTTCTCTTGACAGTTTCCTCCCTTGGGGCCACTTCCACTGCTCCTTTCAAATACGCTCTGCTACAATCTTGGCCATTACAGCCAAAAGATGTTAACATGTTTGTCGAAAAAGACAAATGCAAAGGTCCTACAGGGTACACTACAAGAAATATGTTTTTCAGTGACAAAAATTTATGTGACAACAAAAATCTTGTCACAGATAACCTAATTCAGTGACGACATTAGGTGTCATCACAGATGAGTACAGCACAAGCATAATCAGTGACAACATTGGAAGTTGTCATTCTCAACTCGTCACGAAATAGTTGGCGCGCATCTCATTTGATGCCGCGGGAAATGATTTTATGACAACTCAAGTAAAGTCGTCACAAACGCTCTCTCTACAGTGACAACATAACTTGTTGTCATTGAAAGTCTACCTGGTTCCAATTTTGTGACAACTTTTTGCATCACTGTATACTACAGTATTTTCATCAACTTTCACTAATTCTACTATGACACCCTAATTTTATTTTTTAGCCCCCAATTCTTTTATATTAGCAAAATCACCGAAGATATGACACCCTAATTTTATAATTTAGCCCCTATTCATTATGTATTAACAAAATGCAAATGATATAATAACAAACTATTTTTAGATATTTGTAATTTTTGCTAAGTTGACATAATAGACATGTCTGAGCATAAAAATTTTTTCATGAATTGTTTATTATTACTTATAACAACCCCCAAAAATCAATAACTGAAATAATTTGAAAAAGTGTAATTGAATATAATTTGTAGTCTAATGTTAGCACTGTGAAAGATTAGTATAACGTGTAATACATCATAAGTAATAATTATTTTCATATGGAATGGGTATATACGAAATTAAAATTATTCAGTAAAATATCTGTCGTGCAATAAGATTGAGAGTTGTAACACATTTAACAGAATATTTGATTACATGTTTCTTTTAATTTATTATAAAAACTAAGTAAGAGACAAAGAGTAGGATAGCATGAGTAAGAAGTGCTATACTGTATATAAGCAATTCTATAGTATTTTCATCAAATTTCACTAATTCTACTATGGCACCCTAATTTTATTATTTAGCCCCCAATTCTTTTATATGAGCAAAAGCACAGAAGATATGACACCCTAATTTTATAATTTAGCCCCTATTCATTACGTATTAGCAAAATGCAAATGATATAATAACAAACTAGTTTTAGATATTTGTAATTTTTGCTAAGTTGACATAATAGACATGTCTGAGCATAAAATTTTTTTCATGAATTGTTTATTATTACTTATAACAACCCCCAAAAATCAATAACTGAAATAATTTGAAAAAGTGTAATTGAATATAATTTGTAGTCTAATGTTAGCACTGTGAAAGATTAGTATAACGTGTAATACATCATAAGTAATAATTATTTTCATATGGAATGGGTATATACGAAATTAAAATTATTCAGTAAAATATCTGTCGTGCAATAAGATTGAGAGTTGTAACACATTTAACAGAATATTTGATTACATGTTTCTTTTAATTTATTATAAAAACTAAGTAAGAGACAAAGAGTAGGATAGCATGAGTAAGAAGTGCTATACTGTATATAAGCAATTCTATAGTATTTTCATCAAATTTCACTAATTCTACTATGGCACCCTAATTTTATTATTTAGCCCCCAATTCTTTTATATGAGCAAAAGCACAGAAGATATGACACCCTAATTTTATAATTTAGCCCCTATTCATTACGTATTAGCAAAATGCAAATGATATAATAACAAACTAGTTTTAGATATTTGTAATTTTTGCTAAGTTGACATAATAGACATGTCTGAGCATAAAATTTTTTTCATGAATTGTTTATTATTACTTATAACAACCCCCAAAAATCAATAACTGAAATAATTTGAAAAAGTGTAATTGAATATAATTTGTAGTCTAATGTTAGCATTGTGAAAGATTAGTATAACGTGTAATACATCATAAGTAATAATTATTTTCATATGGAATGGGTATATACGAAATTAAAATTATTCAGTAAAATATCTGTCGTGCAATAAGATTGAGAGTTGTAACACATTTAACAGAATATTTGATTACATGTTTCTTTTAATTTATTATAAAAACTAAGTAATAGACAAAGAGTATGATAAGCATGAGTAAGAAGTGCTATACTGTATATAAGCAATTCTATGCATGTTAAATTTTTGAAACATATTTTATTGTGTAAGTTTTATTGTAAGGTAATTTCATAAATAATTTGTATATTGAGTTGTCCAAACCCAAAAAGATGTATATAGACACAAACAAGCACACATATATATACATGCACAAAAAAGAAACCAATATCAAATAATTTATTTGATATTTATAGATGAGATTAAGAAAAAAAAAAGAGATTAAGTATGAAAAAAGAAACCTGAAAAAAAAAATTTTACCAGGGAAAAAAAAAAGAAAAAAGATGTATGAAGCTAAAGGCGTGAATCCTGGAATCTCAAAGACGTGTTTAGATGCCAAAAAAAAAGAGCGCCAGTCTGAAATCTGAAAGAGGCGCGAAGCTTGTGGCTGAAATCTCTACAAAAAGACGTCGTTTTTGGTTGTTCACAGACAAACAAAAGTCTCGCCGCTTCTCTCTTCCAACACTTAGACAAATTTCATTCTCAATCTTTCCTTCCTATGGTGAACACCGAAAAACTCTGGACCTCTAACACCTTCTGCTTCCGCAAAATGCTCCTCTAAAGCACCATTGACGAGTGCCAATCTTCAGGTCAAGCTCGCCGAAGAAGCGAAGTCAGAACACTTCCAAGCTCCCTCCTCGTTCCGCGACTTTAGTTTAGACTTTTCTCCGACCCCCTTTTCAGCTAATTGTGCGGTATGTGTTTTTTTTTTTTTTTTTGCTTTCAAAAGCTGCTCAGCCTTCTATTGTAAAGACTAATTTATGAATTAGATTGTTAATTAGCAGTGGGGAAGATAATACTCTTGGCCAAATCGCATCCGAAACACTTGCGATCTGGAGTATTAACAGTGTTAGGGATGGTCAGAACCGGCTTTCTTTGAGGAGCTATGAAATGCGAACATATTTTGACTGCATTAATTTGGTTGGATGAAAGAAAAAAAGGAGAGGAGGTCTTCGGCTGAACGGAAAAAGGGAGGAGGTTTGGAGAAAGGAAAAAGAAAACAGAGCAAAAAGAGAGAGAGAGAGCCAGAGAGTAGACGGAAGAAAAATTGAAAAAAGAGGGGTGGAAAAAGGGAAGAGCTTCGACAAGAAAACAGAGCAAAGGAAAACCAAGAATCGAAGGAATCAGCAAGGAGTTGCTGTTGCCGCTGCTGCCACCAGAATCCACCACCACCACCTGCAAGTCCTCACCGCAAAAGCTTGGTAAGGTTCCCTTTCTCCATTCCTCTCTTTAATTTTGTTAGCGGATGGGTGAAAATGAGAGGTATTGACCTGATTTTCTCTTCCTTTCTTCTTTTTAGTAAAACTTTTATCCTTTTCTGACGTCTATGTATTCATGTGGGGCTATAATTTCTGTTGTGTGAGAAATTTGATTGGGATGCTGTAAATTTTGGGGCTGATTAACTTCAAATTGAGCAAAGGATTGGCGAAATTCTTTATACCCCTGACCTGTTCGATGAAATGCCCAGTTGAGAGTTCTACTTGAAGATGATTTTGCTTGCGTTTTGCGTGTGAGAAAAAGGAACATTCGGCTAGTTCAGTGTTTGTCCGAACATGATAGCTAATTTTTCATGGTAGAAAACAGAGTCTTGAGAGGCTCTGACGTGCTGGTTTTTGCACTTTTTCTGTTTTTATGCTGCCCTATGTTTGAGTCCGAATTGATGTTATGAGAGGGGGAAAAAAATACAAGTCCTATTTACTAATAGTAGTATGGTATCATGTGAAGTTGTTCGTTGAAATGCTCAACAATTGACTATGTTTGGATAGGTCCTGTTTTTTTTTTTTTTTTAAAATTTAAATTTTACGTTTCATCACATGTATTCTTCTTAATTATTTTTTTATTTTTTTAATTATCTTTTTATCTATCATATATCACATAAAAAAAATGTTACAGCATAATCTCAACTCTAAAGTTTCTAGTACTTTCTTATTTTTCTCATTTATGTTTTATCTTTTGGTCTTTATGTTTCTATCACCTTAATCTTTGTCCCACCTGTAGAATGCGAATCAATACTAGTGACAAAAAATGCTTGTGTTTAGTTACTTCATTTATTTTGGGTAGTTAGAATACAATGAATGGAGGTGCACAAGCATAAATGCATATGATGAAGTCACGAAAGTTTTTATGTTTTTCTTTCACCTCTTCCAAGTCTTTTTGTTAAAAGCCAGTGCAATGTGGATGCAAGGAATGGTTTGGACTTTGGAGAAGTGGACTGGTAAGAGTTTGTGGCTTCTGTGTGTTTACTGTTTAGCATTTGCCTAAAGAAATGTGCAAGTCAACAATGTCGATTCCCGGACTCCCTGGCATTAACATATTGGGATCTAAGTTCTCCTTTTCGTTTTCGGTTCCTACCCCATTAATTGGCCCTGCTGTTTCAGCAGAAAGGGGCAGGCAATAAAATGTGTATGTCTGCCTTTATTTCTGGTCTTTGAATAAGTAAAACCCCAAGAAACAAAAGTGACACTTCTCATTTAATGCAAAAAAGTGAGGTCTGCGGAAAACATGCATCGATCCCTATTCCCCCCCCCCCGGAATCCGAGTTGAAGTGTGGGTTTCATTGTCGGAAAAAGGAAAAAAAAAGAGAGGAAAGGTAAAGCAATTGGTTAGTTAATATAGCAAGATAAATTTCATGCCTTGTGTTTATGAGCAAGTGCACGCATGTGGCTTCTGAGTGTCTTTGTTGTCGCAGATACATTCTGTTAGGCTATTAGATCATCAAGCTAAATTTGTTCTGAATGAAGCTGACCTTGCTCTCTTGGGGTTTTTCTTTCAGCTTTCTACATGACTCTAGCATTAGCTCGTATACTAAAGCTATATACGTTAATTTGTAGCTCCCTCAATTTCATATGCCACGTCTGCTATCTGAGAAATTTGTAATCTGACAAATGCCACAGGCTTCAATTCAATCCGAGCTTTTCATGGTTAATTTCATGTTCATTTCGTGGCTGCTATACATATTACTTTTCTTGATATATGATACTGATTTCATGGCTTTTCATATGAATTTTCATATTACTTTTATGGCTGCTTTTCATATGACTTGTAGCCTTAATTTTTGAAAAGGCTAGTTAACAAATTATTCTCTTTAGTTTGATATTAGAAAAGTATTTTGTACTAAAGGCTGATGTGTGTATATCTAGGACATGGATAAAACTTGGATGAAGATTAGCAATAGGAAGGACAAGGCTTATGAACTCGGAGTCAAAAATTTCCTCAAGTTTGCATATTCTCAAAAAGTTGACACTCAGAAAATCCCATGCCCATGTACACAATGCAATAATTTTTGTAACCAAACTAAAACAGTTGTGGAGGATCACTTATTGACTCAAGGCATTCGTAAAAGCTACACAAGATGGATACACCATGGGGAACAATTTCGACACCAAAATTGTGGGGATAGTACTAAACATGGGGATGGAGAGGAGGATAGTGATACTGAAGATTTAAATGACATGTTGCACGACATTGGGACAGCACAATGGGGGGACAATTGGGCTGGTAGGGAAGAATCAACGGATGATAGTCTAAATGCGAATCATAGTGACACAAATAACTTTCTTAAATTGTTAGAAGATGCAAAAAAGGAGCTGTATCCAGGGAATCATTTTTACTCAAAGCTATCCTTTGTAGTCACTTTGCTCCATTTGAAAACAATGAGCGGGTGGACCATAAAGTCCTTCAATGCATTGCTGGAAATTTTTAGCCATGCACTACCTCCTGAAGCCACAGTTCCCAAGTCTTTTGCTGATGCTAAGAAGCTCATTCGAGACTTAGGTTTTAAATCTGAAAAAATCCATGCTTGTGTCAATGATTGTGTTCTCTTCCGCAAGGAAAATGAAAATTTTGACACTTGTCCAAATCTAAATTGTAAAGAACCTCGCTACAAGATGGCAGGTTCAAGAGTTCCACGCAAAGTTTTGCGTTACTTTCCTTTGAAGCCTAGGCTGCAACGATTATATACCCACAAAGAAATAGCTTCAGATATGAGATGGCATAAAGAAAAGTGTGTGCATGATGATAACATCATGCGGCATCCAGCAGACAGTGAAGCATGGAAAGACTTTGATAGGTTGCATCCGGACTTCGCCGTTGATCCTAGAAATGTGAGGTTAGGTCTTGCAACTGATGGTTTCAATCCTTTTGGGACCATGAGTAGTGCTTATAGCATCTGGCCTATTTATCTAGTGCCATACAATCTGCCCCCTTGGAAGTGTATGAGAGATCCTTTCTTTTTCCTATCAATGCTAATTCCTGGGCCTAAATCCCCGGGAAATGAGATTGATGTTTACATGGAGCCTCTAATAGATGAACTGAATGAAATGTGGCTTGGTGTTGAAACATATGATGCATATAGTGGCAAGAAATTTGACCTCCGGGCACCTTTACTATGGACTATAAATGATTTTCCAGCTTATGCAATGCTGTCCGGATGGAGTACGAAAGGGTATCAAGCATGTCCTATTTGCATGGTTGAGACAACTTGCGTACATTTACCACATCGAAAAAAGTTGTGTTACACAGGTCATCGCCGCTTCTTACCCATTGACCATTCTTGGCGGCGAGAAAAAAAACCTTTCGATGGCAATGTGGACTTTAGGAATCCTGTTGCACCTTTATCTGGAAATGAAATTTTGGATCAGGTACAAAATATGGAGGTAAATTTTGGGAAGACCAAGGCGCAATCCAATGCAAAGAAACGCAAGCGTTCTGAGAGTGGTTTGAACTGGACAAAGAAAAGTTGTTTCTTTGAGTTACCATATTGGGCAGACCTCCTTCTTAGGCATAATTTGGATTTAATGCATGTGTCAAAAAATGTCTCAGAGGCTGTCATTGCCACAATTATGGATATTGAAAACAAAACCAAAGACCACTGGTTGTGTCGTCAAGATTTGAAGGATTTGGGTTTGAAAAAAGAGCTACATTTGATTCCAAATGGCGACTCTTATATCATGCCACATGCCTGTTACAGCCTAACCAAGGAGGAGAAAAAAAAAAGTATGTGAGTTCTTGAATTCTGTCAAATATCCAGATGGGTTTGCCTCAAACATTTGCCGATGTATAAAAAATGGCCAGTTTCAAATTTCTGGAATGAAAAGTCATGACTTCCACATTTTTATACAAAGGCTACTCCCACTTGCAATCCGTGGAAGTTTAACAAAAGAAGTTCGGCAAGTGCTATTCGAGTTAAGTGAATTCTTCAAAAAATTATGTGCTAGAACATTACATAGAGAGGTTCTGGAGGAGTTAGGCCAAAAAATTGCAGTCATCTTATGTAAATTAGAGAGGTTGTTCCCTCCAGCTTTCTTCGATATAATGATGCACTTGATGGTTCACTTGCCTGCTGAAGCTATCCTTGGCGGTCCAGCTCAATATCGTTGGATGTTCCCATTTGAGAGGTAGAGAGTTGAACATATAGCCTTGTAAGTTTTTTTTTTATTAAAGACCACTGCAATCTTCTAATTTCTTTTATTTTCCTTTGAGAAAGACATATGGCAGTGCTGAAAAGTTATGTTGGGAATAAGGCCCGGCCAGAGGGATGCATTGCTGAGCGGTACATAGATAAAGAATGCTTGACATTCTGCTCTATGTACCTAGACAATATTGATACGATATTCAACAAGCCTGAACGAAACAATGATAGGGGATATAATACTGGTGAATTGTCCATTTTTTCATGCCCTGGTCGTCCATTTGGAGGTCCCAAAAGGGGCAATTTCCTTGACTCAGAGCTGGAAAAAATTCATACATTTATATTGAACAATTGTGATGAGCTTGAGGACTATATAAAGTAAGCTTTTAATGTTAATTAAAGCTTGTACCTTTGTTCTATATTTTGATATGTTCAAAGGCAAATTTATATAAGGTGATTGTTTTTGTCTATAGTGCGCATAAAATGGAGTTGGAGGCAGAGAGTGCTGAAAATGTGGACCAAAGGCATGATAGAGAATTTGCAAAATGGGTTCAACAACGTGTATGTTTGTAGTGTCATTTGGACAGCCTACTTTTTTTTATCTCTAATACAATAAATTACTGATTTAGGTGAAATTGTCCTTACTAGGTTATGTATGGCAGCGAGACTTCCAATGGTGAGCTTAGAGCATTAGCATTTGGGCTAGACAACCGAGTTTGTATGTATACGGGTTGCATGGTTAATGGGTATAGGTTTCACACGGAAAATCGGGAAAGGCAAAGAAAGACTCAAAACAGTGGTATTGTAGTTAGAGGTGAGCATGGTAACAAAATGATCGATTTTTATGGTGTGATACAACAAATTATTGAAGTAAGATACTGGCTCGGGAAAAAAAAGGTTATAGTATTCAAGTGTGACTGGTGGAAGACCGATGATAGTGCTGGGATGCAAGTGGACAAAGAATGGGGTATCACAAGTGTCAATTCGTCTAGAAAATGGTATGAAGACCAACCATATGTCCTCCCTCAACATGTCCAACAAGTCTTTTATCTTGAAGACTTGAAACTAGGCAAAAACTGGTTTGTCGTCGAGAGGTTCAGTCCAAGGCACTTGTATGATGTTCCTGAAAATTTAGAAAAAGAACCAATGGTCGAGGAAATATATCAAGAAGAAGCAAATGGGGATTTCACTATTATAATAGACCTCGACAATCCACCATTACTTTCGAGAGAAGACAATGAGATACCGAAGGCTGTACCTTCATCCATTGTACATGCTGAGAAGTCAAAAAATAGCTCAAATGGCACCTTTGAAGACTTCATTAATGATGATGATGAAGTGAATGAACATGAGTCTAACAATGAGGAAGACGAAGAGGAGATTCTTAGTGATAATGACATCGATTCGGAATAGGTGAAATTGATGAGGACTACATGACACTAAATTTAATCTCTTTAACTCCGGCTAACTAGTTTTTATTCCTAAATTATACTATGCTGTAACACTAACTTCTTGTTACTTTTAGATGGCTGGACCAGGAAAGCGAGGCCAAATGCTGCAGAGAAAAGCTCAAGGTGCACAACAGCCTGCAATACCTAATTCAATTGGAAGCAATCAACCAAGAAGTGCATCCAAGAGTGTATCCTCAGAGGATGTAATATATGTCACTCCAGCTTCTTCACCTAGAGAAATTGCTAGTGAGAGTAGGATGATACACCCTCAGACATCTGAGTCTCGTGCATCCGGAGAAAATGAGTCAAATCCAGTTTCGGATGAGGAAGAAAATGGTAAGTTAGACTTCATTTTCATGGCTGAAATTAAAAATCAAGTTTCTATTTCATGACTGACTTTGTTAATGTGGTCAAAGTAATGTATGGACTGATATTTGTTAATAGCTATGCTGCTGTCAGCAAGAAGAAGAGGACGTACACGAAATCTATCATTATCAAAAAAAAGGGAGGCTAATGAGACGCTCACCATTGAAATTGATGATTGTATTCGGCGGATTGTTGGGAAGGATTCTCAATACTTCATCACAGAAGGGGGTTGTGTTGTTAGGAAGGCTGCTAGGCTTAATGTTCCAAAGTGGTCCCATCTCAATCCCGGTGACCGAGAAGGCATATACAGCACGGTTACAGTATTTGTTGTCCTGCAATAGACATGTCTAATTTCATCCAGAAAGTAAGAGAGATTTTACTGCTTTAGATTTGCTTGGTTTTAAGTAGATTGCACTGTTATTGTAGGATGACTTTCGATTTTCAGAGCACATCACCTCAAAAACTGCTATTAATAGGCAGTTAAACACACAATATCGAAATCATCGATATAGGCTTCACAAGTATTTCCAGAGTTTTGAATCAAGGCAAGAAGCATTGAGGCAAGTTCCTGAAGGTGTGAGTGAAGAAGATTGGAAGTGGCTGGTCAGCTACTTTGAAAATGATGAATTTAAGGTTAGCTTGTCAAAATAACCTATCCTTTTATTAAATTTCAGATTTCACTTCACAAATTTGCTAATCTTTGTCAGTTAAAATTTTCACTAATTTGTGGCAGAAAATTAGTGAACGTAACAAGCAAAATCGTGCCAAAAATGACTGCTACACTACTGTTGGCACAAAATCGCTTGCAAGAGTTGTTGAGGAAAAGGTAATCTGAAACCCAGCCATATGACTGAAAAAGGCAAATATTTCAACTACCGGAATAGCTCAGCCAGTTTTGATGTTTTAAAGTGAAGTTTGATGGAAGAAAATAGTATTATACATAATTTCCTTTAAATTTTTATTGACTCAACAGTGAGGTACTGCAAATATTCGGAAAAAGGAAAAAAAAAGAGAGGAAAGGTAAAGCAATTGGTTAGTTAATATAGCAAGATAAATTTCATGCCTTGTGTTTATGCGCAAGTGCACACATGTGGCTTCTGAGTGTCTTTGTTGTCGCAGATACATTCTGTTAGGCTGTTAGATCATCAAGCTAAATTTGTTCTGAATGAAGCTGACCTTGCTCTCTTGGGGTTTTTCTTTCAGCTTTCTACATGGTCTTCCTTGGCCTTCCTTTTCTCTACATACTTTTAATGCTCTTTTCTCAAATCCATGACTGGATTAGATTTAGATGCTACCAAGTATTTAGATTATGTGTATGAAGCCTTGTAAAGTTTTGACTAATCTTTCCATCATATTCTGCTTTGTCTTGGAAATTGGATGACTCTAGCATTAGCTCTGGTTGTATACTAAAGCTATATACGTTGATTTGTAGCTCCCTCAATTTCATATGCCACGTCTGCTATCTGAGAAATTTGTAATCTGACAAATGCCACAGGCTTCAATTCAATCTGAGCTTTCCTATTGAATTGCACACATTTGCAGATTTAACTTCTTGTTACTTTTTGTCATATGACTGAAAATGAAAAAATTGAAAATTTGGACAGAAAAGGAAAGAAGATGTCGAGCTTTCAGAGATAGACATGTTTGAGTTAAGTCGAAAGTCAAAGAAGTCAGGGGGGCTGGTAAATGACAAAGCAAAAGAGACCTTGGTGAGCTGTTTCACTTGGATAATGGATTTTTAAATTATTGACATCCATTCCAGCTACATAATGATCATATTTTTTACTTGCCTAGGACAAAATGAGGGAATTGCAGGCTACAACTTCAATGACTAGCAAGGAAATATGCGAGCAAGAACTTGGTTACGTACCTGGACACATCCGCGGTCGTAGTGCAACCAAGAAGCAAGCTGCTGAGGTAGAACGCTGGAGGCATGAGATTGAGGACAGCCGAAAAAGAGCAGATGAAGCAGAAAAACGAGCTGCAGAAGTAACTCAACAATTCACTGCTCAGCAAGAGTTGATTAAGACCTTGCAACAGCAACAAACAGAAACAAGAAGCCTATATGATGAGTTAGCTAACCAGCTGAAAGACTTGCGCAAATAAGCAACTTTTGTGTCAGGTATAAATAAATTGTTTGCTCTTCATAGTTATTACAATTGAGGGAAATGAATTCTGGTTCTACAAAATAGAGATTCATTTTTAATACAATTGTTTGCTCTTCATAGTTATAAACTTTGCACCCCTAAATCAATTTCAGTGTGTCTTGTAAGAATTGGTTCATGTAACACTTTAATTTTCAATTTGGTTGGTTAATAACTGTTAAAGATACGTGTGATCTGTTCAACGTGATTTGCTTCTTTTTTTTTTCATATTTGATTTATTGACTTTTTTAGTTTAAGTTTTAGGTTTTAGCTGCATGTTGGCCGTTGGGCTATGTACTTGTAGCCCCATCCTCTATGCCTGATACGAGAAGAAACATTTGATTGTGTCATGATTCTTAAATAAATAATTTTCTTGATACTTTTCAGGCCTTTATTGGACGGAAGCCTCCTGGTTTTCCATTTTGTGTTCCACAGCCTTAAATTCTTTTTTCTTTCACTCTTTTACTACACGATCCTGCTGACTTAAGATGATTCTGCTAAGTCCAAACTTCTTGTTGTTTGTATTAGTTTAATTTCATCGGTCAGCCCTCTGATGTTGTCATCTCGTAGTCTCTTTCCTGAACTGTTATATTTTGTCTTCCTTCTTACTCGTCAAGCCTATTCAAGGATGTCAAACCAGAATTGATGGTATAACACTAATCTAGCCATAACGTACTGTCAAGGCATTTTAGATGGCGATGACCTTTTCTTTGGTTAGTGTCATTTGAACAGTGTACATTAGTTTTTATAATATGGTGCCTATCTAGAAGTATAGTTCCAGTTTTAACACCAGTGCTCATTGCTTCAATTTTGGTAACGTGTAGGTTCTAACACGATTCCCAAGAAGAAGAAGCCAGTCATTGCTGTGAAGATGGTTTTTGAATTGAAGACTACAAGGCCTATCGTGCTCATGTTTTGTTCTAGATGGGAATCGTGCTCATATTTTTGTATAGAACTTTACTACTCTCTATTGTGGATGGGAAATCACTAGTATTGTAACTGAATGGCTTATTTTGGATGGTGCATGGTTTATGACTCATTTGAGGCAACATTTATATATATATGTATTTCGGTTGATCTTCTATTGGAAATGAATGTTGGTTTTCTTTTCGTAGGTTGGCTTTTTTTTCTCCTTGCTACTCAATGAACGTTTTGTGATTGTTGGTAGCTATGTTGCGTAATTAACATTAGCTTATTGCTTTTTACAAAAAAATAAATGACAATAAAAAAGTTGTCACTGCCAACAAGTTTTACTAGTGACACTAGAAAGTCGTCACTTTTTATGGATGGAAAACAATGACAATAAAAGTCGTCACTGAACGGAAGCATAATGTGACAACTCCAAGGGTTGACTATGACAAGAATTTAGCCAGTTTAGTGACAATAAAAGTCGTCACACAATGTACAACAATGAGTGACGACAAGAGTCATCACAAAAGCGAAATCGTTTGTGACGACTTACAATAGTCGTCACATGGACCCCCTTTTGTGACATAGAACTAGTGACAGCTCTGTGACAGTAGTAAAAGTCGTCACAAGCTTTTTTTGTGACAACTTCTGAATTTTTAGTGACGACTTTCGCCTGTCACAGAAACGCAATTTTCTTGTAGTGGTACCATGAATCAAACCAGAAATTTGTTTGTAATCTATTTCCCACATTTTTTTTTGTATAAAAGGATGTGCTAAAATCTTAATTTCAACAATTTTCTCCACACCCCGGAACAGTCCATTGGTACTTTAATCCCCCTTCGTCTAAATTGTTATTAAAAGGAAAATGAATTTCCTACTTTCATTCAATATGTCCTTTTTTTGTCATATCATATTATTTGTCATATTTTCTTTGCTTTTTTAACCCCCTAAAATTTCTTTCCCGTTCTTTACTACTTTCTGAATCCCATTTTTATAATTTTATTCCAGATGGAAATTAAGTTGAATTAGTTTTATATTAAAAGCCAGTATTATATTAATAACCTTAAAAAGAATTAAAAAGGCTTCTACCTTGGACAAATATTGCACTCAGCCAGGCATATTTTTTAAACTTTGTCTGTTTTTTTGAAAACCTATATGTATCTCTAGCTTCTTGTTTATGCCCGGTTAAGCAAATGATAATATATCCAACACAATGGTAAAAATCGCACGTAGATAAAATATCCATCATGTTAATAAGCACATTATATAAAGAGCCGCACTTAATTATGACATTGATAATGATGGAAATCATCAGAATCTATACGGTAAAAAGAAATTTGGTTTTTACTAAATTTTGTTCTAAGTAAAACTAAAACTTTTCCAAATCAATTTCAATTTCATAAGGGATTCAATTTCTTTTTCAAAATCTCAAGGTCGATATTACATAAAAAGCCCCGATAACAAATTCTTAGTACATTCGGATATGTAAGAAAGTCGTCAGAATTTGTTGTAAAGCTATCATTGAAAAGTGAGAACTAAAACACTAAGTCACTAAATTTAACTTTTTCTTTTAATATAGTAGGGTAGGGATATAGTACAAAAATTTTTAACTTCATTGGAAATTCATTTCAATTTGATAAGGACATTTAATGCATTAAAATTCTCTTCCTAGATTTCAATGTCGATATTCCACAGATACCATCGATAATATTAAGAATGGCATTCACATAATAAGAATGATATAGTTTTGATTATTTTATAAATAGCCTACAAAACTTGAGCTAAATGGGAGAATTATAGTCCAATTACTTGAGCTAAATCAAGTACAAAACTTTGACAAAATAATCTTTATTCTGTGTGCTTTGTGTAGAATCATTTATGACACTTTGCAGTTTGCAATCCAAATAAATTACAGAAAACAACAATCAACAAAACCAAAGCTACATGATAACTTCTTTATTGTTAGTATTTCCTAGAAGGAGACACCGGAATGGTTTGTTCATTCCTGAAGAAATTGTCAGGATCAACCGCGGTCTTAACTTTTACCAATCTGTTAAAATTTTCCTTGAAGTACTTAATTCCATAAACAAGTCCCTCGGCGTAACTGTTCTTGCCATTATGGGTGATCCCTATATCAAGATCTCTGTAATTGAGAAATGCTTCCCTGGGGAACTTGGAGACAAAAGGAGTCATATATTTATGTAAAGCTCTGGTCAACTTGATGTAATGCTCGGCCGTCTGGACGCCATTTTGATGCCAGTCTGTTGCATACTGAATCTTTGCAATATTCCCACCTCTATGGGGAAAGGGTTTGGCCGAGGCTGGAATCTCGGCCATTCTTCCTCCGTAAGGATTGAAAGTCAAGACTGGAGTCTGCAATTCAATCATTTTCTTGAAGATGAATTCTATGCCTTCTATTGGCATAGGCTTTTTCAAATAATCAGATTTCCTTTTCAGATGATTTCGTGCTTGAGGATCTCTGCTAAGAAGTATATCAACAGGAGTTCCAAGGGTGAAGTTGGTGTAGTAAAGTACAGATTTAGCCCAACTCATCTCAATGCAATCTGATTGTCGCAATCCCAATTCAGGAAAACTTTCATTCGTCAGAGAAAGAAGTCTTGCCGAGTCTCCCAAGAACAACGTGAAGAACGCTGATCTTATAGTTTTACCTCCTGTACGAGTATTATTGACCACATCAATAATCATTCTTATGAAGATGTCATTGTCCAACTTGTCTGCAACTTCCTGCCACCTGTGAACAAGATACGTTGCATTTTGCTCATAAGTCCTTTCCACCCTGAACACTGTAACTTTAGGGGGAACACGGACCAGATTTATCTTGTATGCAAGAGCAACTCCAAAACTCGAAGCTCCACCTCCAGTGATAGCCCAGAACAGATCTTCTCCCATTGCTGCTCGGTCTAGAATTCGGCCATTCACATCGATGATTTGTGCATCAATAATATTGTCTACTGTAAGGCCATATTTCCTCATCATGTTGCCGTAGCCACCTCCACTGAAATGCCCGCCAACGCCAACTGTGGGACAAACTCCGGCAGGGAAGCCATGAACTTTGCTTTTCTCATAAATTCTGTAGTATACTTCACCAAGAGTTGCTCCAACTTGAACCCAAGCTGTCTCTTCTTCTATGTTAACACTGATTGATCGAATGTTGAACAAGTCAAGGATGAAGAAGGGGACTTCAGAGATGTAGGAAACGCCCTCATAGTCATGCCCTCCACTTCGGGTTTTCATCTGCAGGCCTTGCGCTTTTGCGCAGATGATAGCTGCTTGGATATGAGAAACATCCAAAGCAGTGAGGATGAGGAAAGGCTTTCTTGTGGTGAACTCATTGAATCTTAGATTTCTGATGTAGGCTTGCAAAACAGTGGGAAATGAAGAGTTGTTTGGGGTGTAAATTACTGCAGAAATGTTGGGTGAAGAATGTTTTTCTAGACATTGAACAAATGCCTGATGGACAGATTGATCAGAAGCTGCAAATGAAATTGCAACCAAGGTCGAGAAAAAGAATGAAGCTAGAATGATGCTAAGATTTCTCATTTTCTTAGTACTAAATTACTAGGGGGTAATTGCTTCGGTTCGGGATTGGTTGCAATATATAGAAGTTTTTCAGCTACACAAATCCAGTTTGAAAAGAAACGGTTATCGGATAAAGCTAAACCTCCCACCATTTGACCATGAATTTGTCAAAGTAAAATTCCAAATCGTTACCTAAATATTAAAATTCCAAATGGTTAGATTTTCAGATTTTTGCTTGTGAGCCTTGAGTTGAATTTCTCTATTCGTAGGGAGACAAGAATTAATTAAGATAGCGTTATTATGTTGAATTTCTCCATTTGTAGGGACACAAGTATTTAGATACCCTCCCTTTCAAATTGAATATCTTAACTTCCTACTTAAGTATTTTGACTATTTTTGAGAATTTCAAATTTTATTACTCTTCCTACTTAAATATTTTGTAGTACATTATCTATCAGACGTGAAAAGCATATTGTGTGTGCTGAAATCATTTTGAAATGTTCCCCACAAATTGAGCCCTTTGTGTGTGCTGTCTATTTTAAGGTAAAATGATCATTTTAATTTTTTTTACACTTTATTATAACTTGTTTACAACTTACCTAAATTTATTTGCATCTTACTCCGACTTGTTTACACTTTAGGAGCAAAACTTGTGAGGAAGCAGACGAAAAGCATCCCAGAGAGTTCTTACAATCTAACATTAATGAACAAAATCTCTAAGTTTGATCCAAGAAAATGCTCTAAAAGTTTAAATCGATCTATTAAAGGGGAGATTGATGGGGCAGATAGAAGGTGCATGAGACTGAGCAAAATGACCAACATGGAGTATAGTTAGTCGTTGGTCTGCCCGTCTATATACGCTGTTCTTATGCTTTGCTCAATTGTTCATACCGCACTAGGACCAATAATCTTGGCTTTAGTTGGATTATCAATTATGAACAAATTAATGTTGCCTTTAGAAAAATGTTAATCATATTACACATTCTATAATAGTACTCCCATTATCATTTTTACTCCGTCTATACCACTTTGGTAATCTTATTTTTCTTTTTCATTCATCCCAAAGTATAGTTAATTTTTAACTTCTCTAACATACTCTTATTTAATGTGCTTTGTTATCAATGAGTGTAAGCTACCTTATTCAATAATTGCTTTGATTCATGTCTTTCATAGTGTCTCTTTCTATTAGTATTGTTACTGTAATTAATATAAAGGTATAATGATTAGTCATACATCTAATATTATATAAGGGTATTTTAAGAAAACAATATACTAGATTTACTCTTTCAATAAAATTACTTAATTTTTCTTACATTGTGTGAAAAGAAATGAAGACTATCAAAGTGGAATGGAGGGAGTACCGTATAGTCTAGCAAATGAAAATTATATAATAATAATAATGGAAATGCCATTACAAAAAGGGTTTTTCTAGGGCATCCGTTAACACATCTAACATTTATCTAATCTACCATATATATACATATACTAACAATTATTATCCTCCATTACATTTATATACTTTTCCTATTTAATCTTACCTACCCTCCCTTGTATTTATTTACTTTCATTAATTAATCTTATATTTTCAAAAATATAACATCTGAAATATATATTAACAAGGGCAGTCGTTAGATAGACCGTTATAAAAAAGTGGAGTATGA